TGGGGTGACTATGAGACCTGCCTCAGAGCTGTCATGAGGAGTAGCTGAGACCACCCACGGTGAGGGAAGGGGCATGTGCAGAGTGGGGACCTCTGGCTGCACACCCTTGGTCCCCAACACTCTCGCTGGCTCTGGTCTTAACTAGACTTTGTTCCCAACCCACCCTCCCTTCTCAGATAAACCAGCCCCCACCCCCGACCCTGCCTCCCCAGGCCACAAGCCCCTGCACCAGCCCCACCAGCCCCCTGCCCCTCAGAGAGGTGGACTTCCCTCCCAGCTTCCAGACTCTGCTCCAACTGGAGGCCCTGCAAACTCTCCCTCTGTAATGATAATGATAATGAATACACTCCTATGGGCTAACTCAGTGAGCACTGGGTATGTGCCAGGCACAATCCCAAACCCTATCCATGCATGCACTAACTCATTTAATGCTCTCAACCATCCCACGAGATGGGTTCTGTTCTAAGCCTAATTTACAGATGAGGAAACTGAGGCCAACAGGCAGGGAAATAACTTGCCCCAAACTGCCCCACTGGTAAGCCCACACTCTTATCCACAACGCTACATACCGTGTGGATCTCCTGCTCCATGACAGCAAGGACTGGGTCGGTCCTGTTCACCCAGCTCAGCACCTGGCCCAGTGGAGCTCTGAAAGCCTTGTTGAATGAATGAGTGAATGAGTGAGTGCTGCCCGTTGTGCTAAGCCTACAAAACCAGTTTTCCCTGCTGTAGAGAAGCCAGGCAGAGGCCATGGAGGGGGCCACACCAGGGCAGCCTGTAGTGCCAGTGTCCGCCCTGCCCAGGGGGCATCTGAAAACAGTGTCCTTCCCACTGCGGAGTCCAGCACCTCCCAGGCCAGGTCTTCGGCCCTTTAACTCCCTGGGAAGTCCATATTTTCTTCTGAGTCTTCTTATTTAAACCTCAAGGCCAAGTTGTCACGGACTCACCAAGTTTTGTCCACAGAGGAAATTTCAAGATCCATCTCACAACTTCAGCAGCTAAACACTCTGGGAAGCTGCCCAGCGGCCTGGGCTGTAGGTCTCATCTGCTCTCTCGTAGCCGCCTCTCCCCTACTCTGAGTTTTCCCAATATCTCCTCTCCCCCCGCAGAAAACAGCCCATTGTCCTGAACTCTTCTAATTCTCTCCCGCACTGTGCTCCCCTCTGCCTAAGGCTTTCTTTTCCCTTTATCAGCTCTTCATTTATTTCCTGAATTGTTTCAAATATAGTTATCTGAAAGTCTTCCAGATTGTTCTATTATCTCAAGTGTAGGAGACAGAAGCCCTCCTGTTCGTGTTACATGCAACTGCTCGCAGTAGCTCAGTTCCTTGTGTGTTTTATAATTTCTGGTTGTGGGCCAGAATCTGGGGACCTTTTCCTCTCGTGGATGGCCCAAGCGGCCTGGGCTGTGGAAGCTCCCTCCTACTGAAACCACCTCCTCACCCCTCAGTTCGCCTCCCCAGACCAGCTGAAGAATCCCCAGGTTGTTGCTGCTGCTGTTGTTGTTGTCATTGCTGCTGCTGTTGTTGTTATTATAAGACATATACAACATAAAATGTACTATCTTAACCATTTCATGTGTACAGTTCAGTGGTATTAAATACATTCACACTGCTGTGTGACCATCACCACCATCCATTTCCAGAACTTTTTCTCCTTCCCAAACTGACACTCTGTACCTATTTAAAAAACACCTGGCTGGTGTGGCTCAGTGGATTGAGCACAGGACTGTGAACCAAAACATCACTGGCTCAATTCCCAGTCAGGGCACATGCCTGGGTTGCAAGCCAGGTTCCCAGTAGGGGGTGTGCAAGAGGCAACCACAGATTGATGTTTCTCTCCCTCTCTTTCTTCCTCCCTTCCCCTCTCTAAAAGTAAATAAATAAAGTCTTTAAAAATATGTAAAAATTAAAAACAACTCATTTCCCTGTCCTCCACCCCAGAAAACCACCACACTCCTTTCTATTTCTGTGAATTTGACTGCTCTAGGTCCTCCTTTAAGTGGGATCATTGAATATTTGTTCTTTTGTGTCTGGCTCATTTTACTTAGCATAATTGTCTTCAGGGTTCATCAGTGTTGCATCACGTGTCAAAATCTCCTTCCTTTTAAAGTCCGAATACTATTCCACTGGATGTAGAGACCGCACCTTGTTCGTCCATCCATTCTTTGATGAGCATTTGCATTGTTTCCACCTTTTGGCTGTTGTGAGTAGTGCTGCTATAAACATTGGTGTACAGATGTCTGTTCAACTCTCTGCTTTACACTCTTTGGGTATGTTCCCAGAAGTGGAATTGCTGGGTCACAGTGTCATTCTGTTTAATTATTTGAGGAACCACATTATGTTCCACAGTGGCTGCACCATTTTACATTCCCAACAACAATTCACAAGGGTTCCAATTTCACTATACCCTTGCCAATGCTTGCTAATTTCTGGGTTTTCAGTTTTTTGTAACGGTGACCCTGGTGGATGTGAAGTGATATCTGTCTCACTGTGGTTTTGATTTGCATTTCCCTAATGACTAGTGACACTGAGCACCTTTTTCACGTGCTTTTTGGCCACTTGTGTATCTTCTTTGGAGAAATGTCTATTCCAGACCTTTGTCCAGTTTTTAATCAGATCATCTGGGATTTTTGTTGTTGAGTTGTAAGACTTCTTGATATAATCTGGAGGTTAATCCCATATCAGATATATAATTTGAAAATATTTTCTCCCATTGCATGAATTGCCTTTTCACTCTGCTGATTGCATCCTTGAGACACCCAGGGTTTTGATTTTAAGTCCAATTTATCTATATTTTCTTCTGGTGCCTATGCTTTTGATGTCATACCCAACAAATGTTTGCCAAATCCAATGTTATAAAGGTTTTTCCCTATGTTTTCTTCTAAGAGTTTGGAAGATCTAACCCTTATGTATACATTTTTGATCTTTATAGGTGAATTTTGTAGATAATACAGAGAAAGCGTCCAACTTCATTCTTTTGCATGTGGATATACAGTTTTCACAACCCAATTCATTAAAACGACTGTCTTTGTCTTTAAGTGGTCTTGACCAAAACCACACTGTTCTGATTACTGTAGCTTTGTAGTAAGTTTTAAAATCAGGAAGTATGAGATATACAAGTTTGCTTTTCTTTCTCAAGATTGTTTTGGCTATTTGGCTATTTGTTTCTTGAGATTCCATGGGATTTTGGGAGGGTGGATTATTTTTATTTCTGCAAAATATCATCATTGGAATTTTGGTAGGGATTGAATTTAAATCTATGGATTACTTTGGGCAGTATTAAAATTTCTAATCCATAAAAGTGAGATGTCTTTCCACTTACTTTACTTTTCCACTTTACTTTGTCTTCTTTAATTTCTTTCAGCAATGTTTCGTACTTTTTAATGTATAAGTCTTATGCTTCCTGGGTTAAGTTTACTTCTAAATATTTTATTCTTTTTATTGCTATTGTAAATAGAATATTTAAAATAATATGTTTCTTCAAACTTCCAATGGCTTAATTTTTTTATGGATTGATTTTTAGAGAAAGAGGGAGGAAGGAGGAAGCCTGGAGGGAAAGACATCAATTTGTTATTCCACACGTGTCCTCACTGGGCATCAAACCCGCAACCTTAGCATATAGGGGCAACGCCCTAACCAACTAAGCTACCCAGCTTGGGCTGGATCATTTGCTTCATTTTCTTTTTGGATTGTTCATTGTTGTATATAGAAACACAACTTATTTTGTGGGATGATTTTGTATTATGAAACTTAGCTGTATTTTTTAATCAGTTCTAATAGTTTTTTTTTGTTTGTTTGTGTTTGAATCCAAGTTATTTCATTGTTCTTTTGTTTTTACTCAGAGACCAAAGCAGTGACAGGTTTTCTTGCCATCTTCCAAAGCTAGTAAGCAGGGTTTTTCTCAGTCCCCGTTTGCCGAGAGTGCAGGCTTCAAGGTTCCCAGTGGGACCCAACAGGACTGGTTCCAGCTTCCTACCTCATGAAGGCCAAGGCCTCAGTCCCTGCCCCTGCATGGTCATTACCACGCCAGTGCCTGACCTCTGAGCTCCTGTCCCTTCCCCTCAGAGCTTCTTCTGCATCAGCTCACTCACCCCTCTGCTTTTCTGCTCTCTTGATTTCAAAAAGACACTTTCTATTTTCTACATATTCAGAGCAGTAGTGGTCCCAGCATCCCACTGTCAAATGAGCACCTCAAGCACATGCATTCACAGAGGGCACACGAAAGCCAAAATTTTCTCCATAGTGAAAAGCCCTATTACAGGACACAGCTCAAGTGGGAAACAACTCAGTCCCTCCTCCAAAGGTAAGAGCCCTGGCTCCCCACGGTACTGGGTGCTGGCCAAGTTTGCACCATGTGGGTGGTTGTTGTCTACTGTTACTGAGGGCCTACTATGTGCCAGATACTGTACTGGGTGCTTGATATACATTCGATCTCATTTAATCCTCCTTCCAGCACTATGAAGGAGGTATTATTATTGTCACCGATTCAGCTGAGAAAATTGCCAAAAGCACAGATAGCAAAGAAGCAGAACCAAGATTCAGACTTAGTTTGGCTCAGCTTTTACCAGATACCTCTCGTGTTCCTCCATCCTTCCACAAGTTACCTCTACCTTTCTCTTCTTGTCCAGTCCCTGGGGATGGGGTCCCTGTGGTTTCCTTCCTCTTCTCTGTCCTCAGCACCCACTGGTGTGACCTCTGCAGAGGTTACTGTGCTTTTGTCCCTGGAGGACCTGTGCACAACTTGGGAGGAACTGTGGCACTCACACAGCTCTTGGCCTGAGCCCCTGTTACTGAGAGAGAGGAAACTTTTGCCAAGGACTCAGAGGGGAGTTCAAGGCTGGGAGTGAACTCAACTCTGGTCAGGACCCAAGCACCCAGCCCTCCCTGAGACATTGTGTGAGCTGGGCTAGGCCTCCAGACAGCCCCTCCCACAGCCCCAGCCAGGGTGGTGCTTGTGTGGGAGGGGCTTTAAATCCAGCTGCCAGACCCCTGGGCGGGAGAGGCAGAGAGGGCTAGCCACCATGCACAGCATCCACAGTCTCCTGGCGCTTCTGCTGCCGCCACTGCTACTGCTGGTGGCCACCACAGGCCCCACCGGAGCCCTGGATGATGAGGAGAGACTTGAGATGGTCAAGCTGCACAACCTCTACCGTGCCCAGGTGTCCCCATCGGCTGCCAACATGCTGCAAATGGTGAGTGTGGCCAGAGGCACCCACCCGGTGGGTTTGAAGGGGAGCTGCGCAGGGCTCTCCACCAATGCTTCCCACCCCTTAGCTGAGGCTGTCACAGAGACTCACCTCTCAGGTCAGTGACAGAGTCTCTGACAATGTATGATTCACAGGTCTTCATAAGCAGCCCCTTATGCAGACGAGGAAACAGGCTCACAGAGACAGACTGGTCCTCCAGGGGCTTGCGGATCACTCAGCTGATAGAGCCGGGTCTGGGCCCCCCAGCGTCCCACTCCAATGACCCCTTCCCGGCACTTCCTAAAATGCACATGCCCCTGGGAGGGGGGACATCTTGGTGATGACAGTCTTTCAGATGCCTTCCAAGGAGACAACAAGGGAAAACAGGGCAGTAGGATGGGTCCGGGCACCTGGAGCAGGAACGGGGGACTGAGGAGGTACGCTGAGCACAGGAAGCAGTAGCAGAAGCAGAGAGAACTCTGCACCACACAGCTCAAATCCGTCTTGGCCACCTGCAGGACCTATGACTTAGGGTGAATCCCTTAACCCAGTAAGGACCCTCAGCTCCTCATGGGTAAAGTGGGGTTATAATTAGAGTTATAGATATAATTGGAGTTACATATGTATCAGTATATATCTATGAATATCATTGATACAATATTGATGGGGGAATGAAATCTTAAATATATATGCATGTGTGTGTGTGTGTATAGTAGGATATATTTACATGAAGTTTAAAATGTAAAAAATACTGTTGTGTACAGATAGTGCCACATGCAGAAGTAGTGAACATACATGGACAAGCCTACAGGTGACAGAAGCCAGATTCAGGGTGGTGGCTACTCCTGCCAGGGAGGGAGAGTCACCTGTGGCAATGTTAGGGACAGGATGCTTAGGGGCAGGACTAAAAGAGATACAGTGAGAAATTCACCCCTTCCTGCCCTCTCCGAAGGTTAGACTGGCCCATGCCCTCCAGCCACTGTCAGGTGGCCTGGAAGGATGAGGGGCTGTGTCCAGGGAGCCCTACCTGGTGCCTCCAGGTGCCTGAAGGTCACACCTGGAGGACACAGCAGTGAGCCTGAAGGTCCAAGGCTAGAGTTTTAACAGCCATGTTCGCTCTGGCAAAGTGACTCTGCTGTGCCCCTCTAATGTCAAAGGCCTCTGTTTCCTGACCTATCACGTGGGGTTCAGCAGGAAGACGTATGAGAAAATCTTGGAGGGGCTCTACAGACACGCAGCACACACCCCACCATTCAAGCCCTTCGGGCCGGGTGACCAGAGGCTGCAGACACAAATCAGGAGCCCGGTTCCAGCTCTGCCTACAAATCCCTGACTGAGGCCTGGAACTCATTGTTGAGCCTCAGTCTCTCCATCTGTAGACCCTTAATGCCCGAGAGCCTTGCTGGCTGAGGCTGCAAACTACACAGGCTGGGAGCTTCTTTGCCTTCAGAGATGGGCCTCAGGGGTGGGCAACATTCTGGAAGGCAGTTCAGGCACGCTGCTGCCTGGTGGGAACAAGGCTCTGGTGCAACCTCAGCAGTGGTAAATGCAGACTCTAAAGCCAGATGATCTGGGTTCAAATCTTAACTTTGCCATTTATTAGCTGTGTGACCTCAGTCAAATTACTCAAACTCTCTGTGCCTCAGCTTCCCCACCTGTAAATTGGGGAGCATTAACAATGCCCTTGTAGGGTGATTGTAAAGATTAAATGAGTGAATATGTGCAAAGCCCTTAGAATACAGCCTGAGAATTAGTAAGTGCTCAATAAGTATTTGATTAACCAGAGGAAACGGATGCTGGGTGAGGCAGGTGGGGGTTGTCCTGGACTCCTCTCTCCCTCAGCCCCACATCCAATCATCACCACTTCCACCTCCCAGAAGCTTCCATTTTCTTTGAATCCTCCTCCCAGCCCCCATCTCTTTGACACAAGCTTGGTTCAGTCTTTCCTTTCTTCTCTCAAGAACTCCTAGATCAGCCTCCACCTGCTTCCTCAGGCTCTGGCCTCTCCTACCAGAACAAATGATCCAACACACAGGCCTGACCCTCCCTGTTCAAAACCCTTCACTGGCTCCCACTGGCTCCCTAGAGCCCCGGGATGAAGCTCCGACCCCTGAGAATGTTCTCTCTGTGTGTCTGGCCCCTGCCTGCCTCTCTAGACTCCTCTCCTGCCCAGGTTCTCCTTCAGGAACCGCTTGTCCTTCCCCCAGCCAAACACTGCTTCTCACCTCCATGCCTTTGTTCATGCAGTGCCTGCTGCTGGGGATGCCTCTCCTTTCTCCACCTGGCCAATGCCTCATCTTCTAACACTTAGCTTACTGTCTCCTTCCCCACCTTCAGGTTGGGCTAAATAGCCCTTTGTTGCCTCTGTAATACCCACTGAGTATCTGTCATTTATCACATGGCCCAATTAATGGCTTATGATAATGTGAATCTGGGCTTCTTGGTCCTTGTTTCCTCGGGCTGGCATGGTGCCCTAGACTGTTGAATGAATGAATGAGTTAGTGAATGAGTGAATGAATGGCCTTTTTGTCACATGGTGGCCATTTGGCCAACGTGGGTCGGTGCCATGACTCCTGAAACTCCCCAAGAGTCTCTGAACCACTGAGAAGCCTTAAGACCCACAGCAATGGCTCTCCAGCAGTGGGACCCCGGGCATCCAGCCGGGATGGAAATGACAGCTGGGCTCTGCGGAGGAGACAGCTGTAAGCAGGGCTCTGTCTCAGTCCTCAACGGCTGACAAGTATCTATTGAGTACCTGCTGTGTGCCCGCACAGTGCCAGACAGGGGGCTACGTCGCAGCCCTACCCCAAAGGAGCGTACAGTCTGGTCTGGAGTCCAGCAGGTCATCCAGATGCCCTAACCCCCACCCCAGCACCCAGCCCCTTCACCACTTTCTAGCTCCCACAGCTGCCAGACTGTGACAGAACCTCAGGGACCAATGTTTTGGGACAAAAAAGCCCAGAGAGGGAAAGGGATTCACCCAAAGTCACAGCAGCGGGGCCGTTCCAGCCCAGTGCTCCCATCCATACCCCAGACAGCTGCTACTGAGAACCTCGCGTGGGTGGGGAGTGGGTGTGGACACACAGCCCCCTTCCCTCAGAGTTACCCAAGCCCTTGGTGCTTTATGGGCTGCCTGGCTCCCACAGCTGGATGGGTCCCCAGAGGGTGGAGCAAGAGTTTCGACCAGGCAATCCATTTCCAGGAGAGGCCAGGACAAAGTTTAATGGGATCCAGGCCTCCCTCCTCAACCCTTTGGTCAGACGCCTTGTTAATCCCTCTTCCCACACACACTGAGCCTGCCTCCCCAGACAGGGACGCAGCACATCAGGGGCCCCCGACCTAAAATGCCATCTTCCTGCTGCCACACCTCAGGTCCCCACTGGAGAACACTGCCTTTGGGACTGGACAGCTCTTTGGGCCACCGAGGCTCTGAGAAAAGGCCTCCCAGTGAGAGTCACACAGAGACACAATTTTTGGGGGGGAAGTTCTCTGTTGACAAGAAGTGAGCACATGGGGAGAGCACTCAGGAGGGCAGCCTGCAGCTGGCAAAGCCGCAGAGGCTGGGCTACCCCAGGGGAGAGTGGGAGCTGAGGAGTGCTGACCCCAGGTCAGATGGAAGCATGGTGGGTGGGGGGAGGGGAATGGCTGAATAAACAGCCCCACACCTCACTGGACGTTTTGTGGTCTTCAGAGCAGTTGAGGCAGCCCTGGGAGGTAGGCAGGGCATCACTGCCCACCTTTCACTTAGATAGTAATATTAATTAATAATAACATTATTACAAATATCTCATTTCCTTCTCCCAACCCCCTGAGAATTCAGAAAGGTTAGGCAATCTGTAGAAAATCACACAGCTGGTGAATGGTCCCAAGTTTGGCTAACTTCACGGCCTGGGGTGGCACTCTCTGGCCTCCCTACAGAAGTCCACCAGGAGCAGAGACCTGTTCTGGATCATAGCCAAGAGTCACTCAGCTAACGAGGGACTCCCGTCTCTGTCCAGAATTGTGAGCATCCTTATCTTCTTCCCCCGACACCCCCTCTTCCACCTCCACTGAGCCTGAGGTGTCCTCACCTTCCTCCCCTCAGAGGTGGGATGAGGAGCTGGCCGCCTTTGCCAAGGCCTACGCTCAGCAGTGCGTGTGGGGCCACAACAAGGAGCGCGGGCGGCGCGGTGAGAACCTGTTCGCCATCACGGACGAGGGCATGGACGTGCCGCGGGCGGTGGAAGAGTGGTACCTCGAGCAGGAGCACTACAACTTCAGCGCCGCCCACTGCGACCCGGGCCAGATGTGCGGCCACTACACGCAGGTGCGAGGCCGGCGGGCAGACAGGGGGCGGGAACACATGAGCAGGGGCAGGGCCAGCCACCAGTCCCATGACCTCCCGCAGGTGCCCTTGTCCACACTCTAAGCCCCCTTAGATCCTTCATAAAAAATCGTCTTTCCACAGCTACTAATGGCTGTTTAGGCCTCCAACGAAGTCTACTTCCCATTTTCAGCTTGGTAGTTAAAAATCACAGTCGGAGAACCTAGGCTGCCCTCCCAGTCTCCCGGTACTAGAGAGACAGACCTAGGCTAGGTGTCTCTGAGCCCGTTTCCTGCAGGGTAGTTACAGGACCAGCCGGTCCTGGCCGGGCTCTAAGCAGTCCTGTCCTCTGGCTTGAGTCAGCTTTTCACCCCAGCAGTAAGCGCCCCTGCCTGTCCCTCTCTGTCCTTTCTCATGGTGTGTAAGTTGCTGCTTCGAATCTGCCAAGGATAAATAAAACAAACTATTTTGGTTTTTTCTTCTGCTTTTAAAAACTGTGTGTAAATAAGAGCAAATTGTCACTAAGAGAGGGTTTCAGGGAGTCTTCCGAGAGCAGTCTCTGTTTGCTTATGTCGGGATTCCCACTGCATTTTGGAAGTTTGCATTTGCAGATGAGAGGTGTACGGGTGTGTGTGGGTTAACATCAGTGTTACTGAATTGTTTTTTTCCTCTTCCTAATGCTTATTTGTTGTTCAACAATAACACAAAGGCAAGTTTTATTTTTTTAAGACAAAAATAGGCCAACTGTCTTCCCACCCAAATCCACCAATTTGATTTTCCAGTGCCTCATTTGAGTGGTATTTTTAGTGCTGATTTTTAGGGCAGGAAATCCCAACATCACCCATGCAGATCAGGAAGTTGTGAGGGTGCAGCAGCCCTCCCTCTGCACCCTGCCACCTCTCACAGTCCCCTCCCCACCCCATCCTCCGCGGTGACTGCTGTCGGAGCCCAGCAGGAGTGGATCTGCCCTACCTCCACCTCAGGGTTCTCCAGAGCTGAGTGGACATGCACTCGGTCATTTCTGCTGGTAGATGTTCCACAGCAGGGGACCCTCAGCTGATGTAAGCAGAAAGATCCCAATCCGGGAGGGTGTGCAGAATTCACGGCCAAAGGCAGGTCTCACAGCAAACACTGGCCTCATTCAGATCATGTGAGTCCTGGGCAGACTGGGCCTAGAAACAGCAAGGGGAAGCTGCTGGTCTCAGCCCATGGCAGTGCACAAAGACTGTTTTGACTTTTTAAGTTTTATACCTAAGATACAACTCCTTCTAGCAGCTAGGAGACCCACACTTAGAGACGGCAGAGCAGGTCCCTGCGTACTTGTGGTTTGGGGAAAGTTCCACTTCCCAAATGGCTCCTCCTGTTCCCTTCCTTGGATTTTGCTTGTTGCTGATGCTTAAGATTCTCCCATTTGTTTCCTTTGAATATACACCTTGTTTAAAATGCAAAAAAGCCTCTAGGAATAGCCCGCAGGAAGAATTCATGAGAATATATCAAAAGGGAAGGTTTTCAGAGGAAGAGAGGCCTGGCAAAATAGTGGTTGGCAGGGGAGAGTAGTCTGTTCAAGACAAATTCCCCTCGTGCCCACCTCCCCCACCCCACCCCCCAGTTCAGAGTTTTCTACTTTAGCTGTCTGTCCTCAGAAGCTTGGATCTTACAGGCTCCAAGGACTGTTCCTCTTCCCACCTGTACAAGGCTAGTACAGAGACACAACACCCGGGCTGTCCCACCCATGCTAAACTGTTGGGTTTGCCCTCCTTCAGGTGGTCTGGGCCAAGACAGAGAAGATTGGCTGTGGCTCCCACTTTTGTGAGAAGCTCCAGGGCGTTGAGGAGACCAATATCCATTTGCTGGTTTGCAACTATGAGCCCCCGTGAGTCCCAGGCAGCCCTACTGGTGGGCGGAGCCGAGGGGAAGCTGGGTTAGACACAAATCTAAGGACGTGGGAGGGGGATGATGTGGAGCCTACGCCCTATACCCTCGGGGAGCTGTGAGGGCACCACCTGCAGGAGTCTCATCTTGTGGGCCCAGCGAGTTAGTTGGGGGCAAGTAAGACCCAGGGACACGTCTGGTGTAGGTGTGTATTTGAGGGATAGGGTCAGGGGTCGACAGGGCTCCCCCCACCCCTAGCATTCTCCTGGCCTCCTGCAGGGGGAACGTGAAGGGGCAGAGGCCCTACGAGGAGGGAACTCCGTGTTCCCAATGTCCTTCCGACTACCGCTGCGAGAACTCCCTCTGCGGTGAGTTGGGGTTGGGGTGGGGAGGGAGAGGAAAAAGAAGGGTGGGACACCAACTGGACGGTCTGGAGGCTCCTGCCACTCCTGAGCATGCGTGGACAGGGGCGGGGGTGGGGGGGTGGGGGGAGGGGGGTCGGCGGGGATGCAATGTCCTGGGGCCCTGGGCAGTCCCACCCCATCCGGGTTCCTAAATCTGTTTTGCCCTCCTGCGCAGCCACTTTGGCGCCCAGTCATTCTGAGTGACTGGATTTCAACCCTCGAAGCAGAAGGTAGCAGAAAGTCACGCTGCATTGGTGAGCGTGGTCAGACAAGGAAAGCCCGGGGTGGGCGGGGCCGACCGGTGGGCGTGGTCAGAAGGACTTGGATGGGCCGTATTAGGAACTGGAATCCGGCTGGAGACAGGCCTTGAAAAAGTGGAAGTGCAAGCACAGAGTCCGAGAGACTTGGACAAGGAGGTGGAGGAACAACTGTGTCAATCAGAAGAAATAACATTTATTATCAATGGGGGACATATTCGCTGGAGAGGGTGTATGTGTGTTTGTGTGTTTCTAGGATATTTGGTTGCCTCACCTTGATTGGGGTGGGGTGAGAGATATGGGGTCCTGCTTGAAGCACTAATGCCAGGCCTTGTTTCTCTTTGCAGAACCCATCAGAGACTCAGAGGAGGCTGAAGAGTTGCCTCAATCGGTAACTGAGACCCTACCTTCCCTGGCAGCTGAAGCCCCAGACTCCAAGAAAGGGCATATCTCTTCTTCCTTAGCAAAAGAAAGTCCATCCTTGGTAACAGAGGTCTCAGGCACCCTGACAACAAAGGCTCTCCTTGCCATAGAGACCAAAGCCCCATCTTCCCTGGCAACAGAAAGCTCACCCTCCATGGCAACTGAGGCTCCTCCCTTAACAAGTAAGGTCCCTTGGTCATCAGAAACTCACAGCTTGTTCTCCTTGGATAAGGGGAAGGCTACCTTCCCCAAGTCGACCAATGATCCCATCCTCAAATCGGCAGACAAAGAGTCCAGCACGACAACAATGCCCTCCAGGAGCCCAGAGAGTTCTCTGCACCTCAAGGTGTCCCTCACCGAGACTCAAGAGTTGCTACCCCATTCCCAGGGGGAGGGGGAGGCTGAGGCCAAGTTGCCTTCTTCCAGTGAGGTCTTGGCCTCAGTTTTTCCAGCCCAGGATGAGCCAGGTGAGCTGCAGGCCACACTGGACCATACGGGGCACACCTTCTCCAAGTCCCTGCTCAACCTCTCCAGTACCTCTGCTGCTGCTAATGACATGGGTGGACGAATCCTGGCCCTGCAGTCCTTGCCAGGTAAAGCCCCTAGCATCCTATCGTCCCTCCTGACTCCAGATTGTCAACGCTCTGTCCCCAGCATAGGTGGTCAGGGTATAGGGAACATGTACCCTCTGAATAGGCATTTCCTCCCTATATGCTGGGCCCCTACTTACATGCCTGGTGGGATGGGTGGGGGCTCAGGCAGAACTATTTATCTCCAGGCTGAGGCAACCCTTCTCCTTTCCTATAGGTGCAGAGGACCCTGAAAAGCCTGGAATCCATTCAGGGATAAACTCGGGCCCTGGTCGCATCTGGAGCCCTCTCCTGGGTCTGCTGCTACTGTCTTCCCTAGTGTTGGCTGGAATCTTCTGAAGGGGTCACCACTCAAAGGCAAGGCCTGGTGGGGGGATCCTGGCCTCATGCTCACTCTGGATTGTTTTTCTCTAAGTAAGAGACCCCGGCTTCCTGGACAAGGCCTGCTCTGTGGCCCAGCAGCCCCTTCACCCAGCTTCTGGCCAGAGCCAATCCCTGGCACTGTCCCAGGAAAGCCTCTGCCTCTGGGGCGGCCCACCCCTCAGCTAGCTGCAGCCTGTTCTAAGCAGTGTTCCTGCGGCCATGGTCCTGGTCTTATAGGAACAGAAGATCTCAGGGCTTCCCGGGAACTCCTCGGCCCCTACCAGCCCCCTGGCCTCTTCCTGGAGTCCTGTGCTGCTCCCAGGTGTACCTTCCTAGGGTAAGGAGGTCAGCTGTCCTCTGCCACCTCTTCCACCCTGTCTCCACACCCCCTAACAAGATATGCGTCTTGGCTGAAGACCCTCTGGAAGGGAAAAGCTACAGGGCATGTGGCTCACCCAGACATCTTGGCCTGGCTGGTAGTGAGCTCAGGCTGCCGCCCAATAACTGCACATCTGGCCTGGACCCCTCCTGCCCCTCCTATGTCAGTCCAGGTGGGCAAGTGGCGATTCTGGGGAGATACCTGCTTGCTTGGCCTGGGACTATCTACCTATGCAAGGTAGAGGGTTCTCCCTGGGTACCTTCCTCTCCCTAGACTTGCTGTGTAGCCAGTGGGGCTGAGAGGCAGATGGACAAGTCCCACCTGGTGGGGTGCTATGGGTGGGAAGACAGAGACCAGGAAAGGGAAGCAGCTCCAACTCCTGAATAAGAGTGTGAGGGGAGGGTGGCCCTGAAGAGGCTCTACGCTTCCCCTACTCACCTGTGGCACCTGCTCCTCCTCCTCTCTCACATTCCCTCTATCCCCAAATAACTCCATTTGGTTCTTTGGGGCACCCTTTCTTTCCTTCCTATAACCACCCCCCCTCCAAATCTTTAGGTTGCTGGCACAAAGGGGAAAGGCCAAAGGCAGGCAAGGGTGCTGGGTGACTCTCCCAGCCCCAGGAGTCACCACTGCGGCCAAGTTGGGTTCGGGGCCCAGAGTCAAGGAGTAGCATGACAATCTCTTCACAGGAGTGCAGTTACCCAGGCCCACCTGGTACACAAGGTCAGAAATGTAGCTGTGGCCTGGCTTTGCCAACCCTTAGTTACTGGAGGAGTCCTGAGAAAGATTCTGGGGCCCCCCTCCCCTTCCAACACCCAGGACTGGAGCACAGCAGGACTGGCCACAAGGGCCGTGGGGCAGAAAAGCACAACTGTGCGTGTGTGCAGGGACAGCAACAGCAGACAACTGAGGATGACTTGGGGCCAAGCTGGGTTGGCAAGTGGCAGAGGAGTGGTTTCTAGGCCAGAGGCAGTGTCAGCAGTTAAACAGGAAGCATTCAAGTCAGGCCAAGGCTGCGAGACTTCCATGTATGTATATATATGATATGATATAATGTAACTCCATTAAGATAGAACTCATATGACATTAAATCCACCCATTTAAATTGTACCCTTCATCCCTAACTGGTGTGGTTCAGTGGGTTGGGCACCATTTGGCAAAGCAAAATGTCGCTGGTTCCATTCCTGATCAGGATCATGCCTGGGTTGCAGGTTCTGTCCCCATTCAGGGAAAGAGGCAACTGATCAGTTTCTCTCCCTCTTTCCCCCTCCCTTCCCCTCTCTCTAAAAATAAATTGTACCATTCAGTGGCTTTAAGTGTACCACAGGGCTGCACAGCCATCAGCCACCGCCAACTCTGAAACTTTCACTAGCCCCAAAGAAACCCTATACATCAGAGGTCACTCCCCTCTTCATTTCAACATTTTCTCATTCTGTGGGCATCAACAATTTTTGTTGATGATACATATCTTTTGAGCACGTTTTAAATTTTGACAATGTCCAATTCATCAGTTTTTTTTTTCATTTTGTTCCCTGTACTTTTTGATGTTATGGCTAAACCAGTGCCCAATCCAAGGTCATAGACTTACGCTTATGTTTTCTTCTAAAAGTTTTATATACATTTAAGGCCTTGACACATTTTGTTAATTTTTGTATGTGGTATAAAATGGGAATCCAACTTCATTCTTATGTACACACCCCACTGTCCCAGCACCTTTCATTGAAGACTACTCTCCCCCATCTGTCATTGCCCTTGTCAAAATCAGTCAAAATAAAAGTCAGCGTTTATTTCTGGACTCTTGATCCCATCTCATCGGTCCATACGTCTGTCTGTATGCTGGTACCACACCATCTGGATTACTGCAGCTTCGTGGTAGGTTTTGAAATCAGGAAGTGCAAGTCCTCCAACTTTGTTTTCTCAGGACTACTGAGGCTATTCTAGGCCCTTTGAATTTCCATAGTAATTTTAGAATCAGCTTGTCAAATTTCTGCAAAGTCAGCAGAGGTTTTAATAGGGTGGGTATAATTTGCCATCTTAACTGTTAAACCTTCCAATCTATGAGCAAAGGATGTTTTTCTATTCATTTAGGCCTCCTTTAATTTCAACAGTGTTTTATAGTTTTCAAAGTGTTTTTCAAATCTTTTGTTAAATTTGTTCATAAGTACTTTGTTATTTTTGATACTATTATAAATAAAATTTTCATTTTCACTTTGTTCAACTGTCAAATGTATAGAAATACAATTGATTTTTGTATATAGATTTTGAATCCTACAACTTGCTGAATTCACTTATTATAGAAGTATTTTTAGTGGATTCCTTAGAATTTTTTATATATAAGATCATGTCATCTACAGAAGCAGTTTTACTACCTCCTTTCTGATCCAGAGAATTTCTCCCCTTGCCTAACTGCCCCGGCTGGTCCCTCCTGGGCAGTGTTAAGCAGTGGCAAGAGCAGAGATTTTTCTTGTTCCTGATCTCAGGGGGAAATGTCAGGTCTCGCACCATCCAGTGTTATCTGTGGGTTTTTCATACTCACCAGGTTATATCACTGATCAGGCTGAGGAAAAATCTCTTCTTAGGTTTTTGAATGCTTTTTATCGTTAAGGGTATTGAATTCTGCCAAAATTCTTTTTTGGTGTCTACTGAGGTGATCCTGTGGCTTTTGTTCCTTATACGTGGATAAAAGTGTATTATGCTGATTTCCAAATGTTGGTCCAACTTGTGTTCCTGTTTTCTTACGTTGCCTCCTGGGTCCCCTGAGGTGGTCAACTATGGTGGCCTCTGGGCACAGGACTGTGGTGGTCCAAACCCATCTTTCCTAGTTTCTGAGTGGACCCTGCCTCCTACAAAGCACACCTGTGGTCGGCCCTCAGGAAAACTGTCACAGAGGGAACCTATCGAAGACCAGGGCCAGGGACCTCTTTGAAAGCTTATTTTTTGGGAAATAACGGTGTGCCACACAGGCCAGCCTGAGACAAATGGGCGGGGAGGGGACATGTCAGCACAGGCCCATGAGGACACGATAAGAGGGTATGTTCGGAGGGCAGGGGGCCGGCACTCAGGCTGCTGCTGTCCGGGTGGGGAGGGGTCGGCTCCAGCGTCATGATGCATGGCTCCCTGGCATCTGGGGAACGGCACAGAGAGAGGGACCACTACAGAGGCCCAGCTTAGGATTCCTCTGCCACCTCAGGCTTTTTCACAGGGGGGCCCAAAAGGGCTGTCACAGGCTTTTCCAGCCTTGTCCATCAGAATTAAGTGTTCCTGGAGGGGAGGTGGGTGACCGGCTTCCCACAACATTTCTGCTTCCGCCACCCCTCCTTTTGCCAACAGCTCAGCTTCCCTCCTGCCCGATCACCTCTCTCAAATGTGGACCTTGTCATTCTAGTTCCTGGCCCGGCAGGGAACATGCCAGGTGCTCAGAGGGCAGGTGAAGCCTCAGCCCTCACAGGCTGAGGGAACCAGGGAACAAAGGGAGCATTTAATATACACAATACATGCATCTGGATATTGAGCTGGAAATGTGCTTTAGAAGTTAAGGGTAACACCTGGGCTCTGCTCAATTGAAAACATAGAGGGAGGGGCCCTTCAGGGCAAGCTCAGCACAGGATTCCAGAGAGGCAAGTGGCTCTAAATCCAGGGGACCATGAGAAGTAATCAGCACAAAAACAAGATTCAAACATGGAGCAACAAGAAGAAAAGTTACCCCTAACAGTGGTCACTGTTGTGGGAAGCCACGCTGGGTGGTGGAAAGGCAACATGCTATGAGGCAGGCTGGCCCCTGAAGAGCATTCCTTCTCTCCAGAAGTGGTGCTGGCAGGGTCTGGCCCACTCACCTAGCTGGGCGCTCTCCTGCCCTGCTACTTCAGCTATCTGAAGTGAGTATAAGACCTAAGTGGCCTCAGCCAATGTACTTTTACAGCACACGCGCTGAGGCACTTTCATGAGTTCTTGGGGAGTAAGGATCCATAATAAACTGCTCTCAAGTCAAATGTTACTAGGCCACTGGGGACAGCCAGTTCTGCAAGTGTCCCGGGGCCTTCCCTGGAGGTGACCCAGACCACACCTGTGAGGAAGCATGACCAAAGTCACCAGACCACAACGTTACAGCAAGGGCAAAGAAACACCTAGCTGGACTTCCACAGGAATTCAAACCCCATCAGATGGAAGCCCGTGGTCCCCAGGACAGGCTGCTCTATCTGTAAGTTTTGCCTGTTTATAGAACCCAGCGCTCGGCGGAAGTGAATGGAGGGGCGCTCCATCTTTCCTAGGGAAGGCAGGGCTTGGTGCTTATGCTGGGCCCGTGCCAGCCCCTTCTATAATCATGTGACTGCTACCCCAAAAGACTCAGTAAAAACTGCAAATGCCAAACAGTGCAGAGATGACAATTAGGGGTTTGGGTGGAACATTTTCTGAAGATGGGAAGCCTGTCTCCATGGCAACAGGCCTATATACTACTTGTTGATCTGCATATTGGCATCTCATCATGGTCTGATTTAGAAAATCATCCGGTCTCCCTGGCTCCCTGTCCAGGCTGATCTACACTGGGCCTGGCGCTTCTCATCCCGGGCTGAGCTGCCGCAGCCCTGTGGCTCTACAGCCTCTCCACACACTAACACATAGGACTGACAAAGACTGCGGTTTTTAAGCTCATCAAAATCAGAGAATCCCCACAAAACTTCAAATCACCACCAGTACATTTATTTGAGGGAGGAAGGGTCAAATCTTATCAGGAACTTTTAAATTGGGTAGGACTAAAGACATTGATCTGCCTAACTTCTGGGTGTGCACGACTGCACAGGTAACTAGATCCTGCACACAAAGCGTCACCATTAAACCGATGAGCATTTGATGAGGGGACACATTCTGAGCGGTCACATGATTTCCCATTCGGAAGGTGCTGCCTTTGTATCAGAAAAGTAGTGTTGAGGAAAACAAAGGCAGAACCTACAATAGCTTCCTAGCACAGGCCTGGACATGATGGTGGCCTCGTGAAAAGGGACCGTGCCCTATTTACAAGCAGGAGAGCAGTACTCCCAGCCGAGCTTCAGGGTGAGAGCTGGGACTGATCGGGGGTGGGTGGGGGTGGGATCTGACACCGTGAGCCTTGTCCCATCCAACCTGGGCCTCTACAGCCATTCTCTGGCCCCCTGCACAGAGCAGACATAGCAAATCTGTGAAGAAAGGGGATTCCACCCCAGATCCCCAGCCCTGCCCCACCTTCCCCAGGTCTAACAGGTGACTGACCAGTGGGCGTAGCCTCACCCCCACCCGACCCCCGCTTCTGGACAGACACACGGCAAACATGGACGCCGAAGCCCAGCTGGGCAGGAGCACATCTAGGTGTCGCTGGGTTGGAGTTGTCTTACGAGTGCCTGAGATGGACAGGCCTCACCCACAGTGGCCAGGCTGGGACAGCGTGTGTTTAGTGATTCAGGTTACTCCAGGGCAAAGCACGATCCTGATGACACCCGGCGGAAAAGGAGGCTGGAGCCTCGGAAGAGCTGGCCCTGGATTGGAAGGAACAGTCAGGTCAGTCAGGGAAAGGGGAGGCCACCTTCCACATCCTGCCCCAGAGCAAGGCCAACGTGAAGCAAAGAGGGCCCCAGCAGCCGAGAGCCCAGGGTCGGGAGGAGGGCCTAGGTCTGCATTCCAAATGGCAAGGTCACAATCTGCCCTGTGCTGGGTGGCTCACTTCATGCCACAGGGTGTCCAGTGTTGATGGGCTACTTGGTAGGCACCCCTCAAAGAGGTGGGTACCGGGGAGTACTGCCCATTTGGCTTCTGAGCCAAAGTCGTCCGGGTCTCCTCCAACGTCCACAGGATGTGACGCACGTAGAACGGACCAGAGTCACTGGGAAGAACTGCACCCTTCTCTTGCCTCGCTGCTTCCCTCCTATCTGTCCTCTTCTTAACCCGAGGCCAGTCACTGCAATGGCTGCTCCCCAAGCCACTGACCCATTTTACAAGGCAAATGCAAGGCTAGGAAAAGGCAAGAATCTGCCCTGGACACCAGGATCCTTGACCTCTGGTTCCTGGAGCTCCAGCCAGCAGGAAGGTACTTGGGCACAGAATATAAAACCCCAAGAATGGCCCCCTCAGCAGGCTCATCC